GAGAGTCTTAGGGTAATCCTGGTATGGTCTAAGAGTGGTTCCGGGAAGGTCTTAGAGAGGTCTTGAGGATGGTCAAGTACGGTCTGAGGGGTGATCATGGGATGGTCTGAGAGTGGTCATGGCTTGCTGTCTGAAGGAGGAGGAAGGTGGAGTAATAAGGAGGGAAGAGAGGTGGAGTAATAAGGGGGAAGAGAGGTGGGTTAATAAGGAGGAAGGGGGTGGTGTATTAGGAGGGAAGGAAGGCGGAGTAATAAGGAAGGTGGAGTAATAGGAGGAAAGAAGGTGGAGTATAAGGAGGGAAAGGGAAAGGGGGAGTATAAGGAGGGAAGGAAGATGGTGTAATAGGAGGAAGAGGTTGGTGTAACAAGGAGGGAAGAAAGGGGTGGTAATAAGGTGGGAAGGAAGATGGTATAATAAGGGGGATGGAAGGTGGGTAATAAGGAGGGAAGGAAGGCGGAGTAATAAGGAAGGTGAGTAATAAGAAAGGAAGGTGGGGGTTAAAGGAGGGAAGGAGGTGGAGTAATAAGGAGGGAAGAAAGTGGAGTAATGAGGAGGGAATGAAGTTTGGAGTAATAAGGAGGGAAGGAAGATGGAGTAATAAGGGGGGAAAGGAAAGGTGGTAAAAAGGAGGACGGAAGGTGGATAACAAGGGGGAGGAAGGTGGAGTAATAAGGAGGGAAGAAAAGTGGAGTAATGAGGAGGGAATGAAGATGGAGTATAAGGAGGGAAGGAAGATGGAGTAATAAGGGGGAAGGAAGGTGGAGTAATAAGGAGAGACCCGGGGGTGGAGTAAAAAAGGAGGGAAGGAAGGTGGAGTAATAGGGAGGAATGAAGGTGGAGTAATAAGGAGGGAAGATGGGTAATAAGAAGGGAAGGAAGATGGAGTTAATAAGGAGGGAAGGTAGAGGAGTAATAAGGAGGGAAAGGGAGATGGAGTAATAAGGAGGAAGGAAGGTGGGGGTAATAAGGAGGGAAGGAGGGGGGTAATATGGAGGGAAGGAAGGTGGGTAAATAAGGAGGGAAAGGAAGGTGGTGTTATAAGAGGAGAAGGAAGATGGAATAATATGGAAGGAAGGAAGGAAGTGGAGTAACAAGGAGGGAAGGAAGGTGGAGAAAATAAGGGGGCGGAAGGTGGAGTAATAAGGAGGGATGAAGGTGGAGTAATAAGGAGGAAAGGAAGATGGGAGTATGGAGGAAAAAGGTGAGTAATAAGAAGGGAAGGAAGGTGGAGTAATAAGGAGGGAAGGATGGTGGAGTAATAAGGATGGAAGGAAGGTGGAGTAATAAGGAGAGGAAGATGGAGTAATAAGGAGGAAGGAAGGTGGAGAAAGTAAGGAGGGAAGGAAAGTGGAGTAATAAGTAGGAAAAGGAAGGTGGAGTAATAAGGAGAGAAGGAAGGTGGAGTAGTAAGGAGGAGGAAGAAAGTGGAGTAATAAGGAGGGAAGGAAGGTGGAGTAATAAGGAGGGAATGAAGGTGGAGTAATAAGGAGGAATGAAGGTGAAGGTAATAAGGAGGGAAGGAAGATGGAGTAATGAAGGAAAGGAAGAATGGAGTAATAAGTAAGGGAAGGAAGAGTGGAGTAATAAGGGAGAGAAGGAAGTGGAGTAATAAGAAGGGGAAGGTAGATGGAGTAATAAGTAGGAAGGAAGGTGGAGTAAAAAGGGTAGGGAGGAAGTGGAGTAATAAGGAGGGAAGGAAGGTGGAGTAATAAGGAGGGAAGGGGGTGGAGTAATAAGGAGGGAAGGAAGATGGAGTAATAAGGAGGAAGGAAGATGGTAATAATGGAAGGAAGGAAGGTGGGTAATAGGAGGGAAGGAAGGTGGAGTAATAAGGAGGGAAGGAAGATGGAGTAATAAGGAGGGAAGGAAAGATGGTGTAATAAGGAGGAAAAAGGGTTTGGTGTAATAAGGAGGGAAGGAAGTGGAGTAATATGGAGGGAAGGAAGGTGGAGTAATAAGGAGGGAAGGAAGATGGATGTAATAAGGAGGGAAGAAGTGGTGTAATAAGTACGGAAGGAAGGTGGTGTAATAAGGAGGAAGAAATGGTAATATAGGAGATGTGGAGTAATAAGGAGGGAAGGAAGGTGGAGTAATAAGGGAAAGGAAGAGTGGTGTAATAAGGGGGGAAGGAAGGGGTGTAATAAGGACGAAAGAAGGTGGTGTAATAAGGAGGGAAGGAAAGTGGAGTAATAAGGAGAGAAGGAAGGTGGAGCAGTAAGGAGGGAAGGAAAGTGGAGTAATAAGGAGGGAAGGAAGGTGGAATAATGAGGGAAGGAAGGTGGAGTAATAAGGAGGAATGAAGATCGAGTAATAAGGAGGGAAGGAAGGTGGTGTAATAAGGAGGGAATGAAGATGGAGTAATAAGGAGGGAATGAAGATGGAGTAATAAGGAGGGAAGGAAGATGGAGTAATAAGAAGGGAAGGAAGATGGAGTAATAAGGAGGGAAGGTAGATGGAGTAATAAGGAGGGAAGGAAGGTGGAGTAATAAGGAGGGAAGGAAGGTGGAGTAATAAGGAGGGAAGGAAGTGGAGTAATAAGGAGGGAAGGAAGGTGGAGTAATAAGAGGAGAAGGAAGGATGGAATAATATGAGGAAGGAAGGAAGGTGGAGTAATAGGAGGGAAGGAAGGTGGGTAATAAGGAGGGAAGGAAGATGGTGTATAGGAGGGAAGGAAGATGGTGTAATAAGGACGGAATGAAGTGGTGTAATAAGGAGGGAAGGAAGGTGGAGTAATAAGGAGGGAAGAAAAATGGTGTAATAAGGACGGAATGAAGATGGTGTAATAAGGAGGGAAGGAAGGTGGAGTTAATAAGGAGGGAACTAAAATGGTGTAATAGGAGGGAAGGAAGATGGTGTAATAAGGAGGGAGGGAAGGAAGGTGGGGTAATAAGGAGGGAAGGAAAATGGTGTAATAGGAGGGACGATGATGTAATAAGGAGGAAAGGAAGTTGGTGTAATAAGTACAGAAGGAAGATGGTGTAATAAGGAAGGGAGGTTGTAGAATAGAGGTGAGATCAGAGTTAGGGAGGCTTGGGTGTACACAGGAAAGTCTCTTGAGGTGGACCCCTCAAGGAAGGTTCCTTGATGTTGGTGAGGGGCTCTTGATTTAGGGAATTGGATCTGTGCTCCAGTTCCCCGAATTAAGCCTGAATGCCTTCCACATCCCCCCCCCCCCAGGCGCTGTATAATCCTCTGGGTTTAGCGCTTCCCCCTTGATTATAATAATAATCTTGAGGTGGAAGTGAGAATTCTTGTCTTGAAGTAAAGAGACAGAGACTGAGAGACAGTAGCATCTCGTCAGCTAGAGAATTTATAATTCTCCAACTGATTCTTGGGTGGACTATCAGTATTTCTGGGATTATCTAAGAGCTGGCCTGGAACGATCTAAGCGTGGTACAAAGATCATCTGAGAAATATCCTGGATGTTCTTAAAGTGGTCGTGAGATGCTTTGAGGCGAGTGAATGGAATATAAGACTTGTGAAGGCTTACTCAGCCCTGTAACAACTTCAGACAGTATTACCCAGGCTGGCTCCTCCTCAGGAAAATTAATGAATAGAAAAAGAAATAATAACAGACAAATATAAACACTTTATTATATAGAAAATATAAAATATAAAACACTTAAATATGAAATATTAATCCTACATTAAAGAAAATGAAAAATGAAAAATATAAATGATAACTGAATTCAACGCTAATATAAAACTTGGGTGTCTGGTGTTGGTGACACTGCTTGTTGAAATCGTAGCCGTTGCCGATGATGGGGGGGGGGTCGCAGGTGTTGGTTACAACCCACTGGCTAGTTCTTCACAGTATAGCCTTGAGTATTCTATCCCGATGACAGGAAAGCAGGTTCTTTACCGCTGTAATGATGAGGGGTTACGTCCTGCAATTTCATACAGGTGCACAGGTAATTAAATCCAAAAAGGGGAAGTCTCAGGACGTTAGTCCATCTCCATCAGTTCTACTTGTTGATTGGCAGGTGACCCTCTCTGTCATCCAAGAGTAGTGCTGGGAGCTGTGAGTCTAGTGATTACTGTTTGGACCGGAGCCCCATACGTCACCTTTCGGGGGGGGGGGGGAAGTAGGAGGGGAAGGGATAGCGAGAGCTAGACTGACCCTACCTTAACAAGTAGCCGGCAATGAAACTATCACTTACGGGGTGGGGGAAAAAAGGCGGGAATAGCAGGAGCTTGACTTACCCTACCTTAACAAGTAGCCGGCAATGAAACTATTGTTACTATATACTCCCTCGCTACTCCTGTCTATTGAACTTTTCCCTCACAAGACTCCTCGTTTGATGGTTTAATTAGTAAACATCCTGGATGGTCTGAAAGTGTTCCTGGGATGGTCGAAAAGCGGTTCAGCGATGGTCTGGTCTTAGAGTGGCTCTCAGATTGAGTAGTATTGGGATAATCTGTGACTGATCTTGGATTATTAGTTGTCATGGTCTGAAAGTGGTCCTGCGATAGTCTGAGAATGGTCATACCGACCTGTAACGTTAATATAATCAACATACGTAACTAATAACCTCGTAAACCTCGCCTTATCTGGATTATTTAAGTCTTGGCTCATCGGGGACATTTAAACTCCCTCAGATCTGATTTATTTAAACCTTGAAGCGTCAGGGACATTTAAACATCAGCGGGATGAGAACACTTAAACCACATCGCGCGTAGTTATTTAAATCTAAGAATGTCTGGGTTATTTAATCCTCGGTGAAACGGGTAAATTTAAATCACTGCGCCGTGGGTACATATAAACATAAAAAGAATTTGGTTTATTTAATTATTTGCTCATAGGGAACATTTACACCTCGGTTTATCTGCGTCACATAAAACTCGGCATTGTGACAACATTGCGCTGTATAGCCCTTGTGGCTTAGCGCTTCTTTTTGATTATAATAATAATACCCCCCCCCCTGTGACAACATTTAAACTTCAATGTGTTTGTGAAATTTAAAGATCTCGTGGTTATAGTAATGTAATACTATTTTTAGTGATGAGTAGCAATACTCATCAGCTGACTGTAGCTGTAACTGTACTTACAAGAAACATCGTAGAATACATTGCTATTTGGCCAGAGGATCAGCTGACACAGGTGAGGACGGACACAGGTGAGGACGGACACAGGTGAGGACGGGCTCGGGTGAAGACGGGTACAGGTGTGGTTATCAGTGATACAGCGCATCAGTACAGCAACTTCACCTTATGTTCTCCTCGTGACCTTAGTAGTGCAGAATGCCGACACGAGATGGCAGCGAGGGTGGGTTTGGTCTCCGGACAAAAAAAAAAAAAAATACACGCGTTGAACGCTACTTACTTTTTGTAGTGTATTTTTTAACACTATCCCTGTTGTTGTCTGACATTCTGCTACCATTTCTCTGTCGGTCTATCTGCCTCTCTCTCTCTCTCTCTCATTCTCACATACGTCATGTTGTGGGAATGGTACGTGTTGAGGGTCGTTAAGTACAACCATCCAAGGAGGTACAATACTATCGTACTGTACTTTGTGTGTATAACCTAAGCCACTTTAACATTTTACACTCCGAGAGGATTACAAAGTTCCTGTTTTTGTCTCAAGGGCATTTTAAGGTTGCCGGTAAATTACATTAACTTCTGCTTACATTTATGTGTTCTTAACTCTTTGTACTTATTTTTATGACTTCGTTTAATCTTTTCAGTCTAATCTTTCAATATCCACGATAAAAAGGAGTTAAAGTTATTTCCCTTCGGTTATACATGTCATGTATGTAATTGCCAAAAATATACAGGAATTTTCACCTTTTCTTGGTTCCAATAAGAAGCCTTTCCTTCGACAGATTCCTCAACTCTCTCGCCACTCTCTAGCATTCGTCTACATATTTTATCATGACGACTCGTCCTTTCCCTTACTCTCTTTCCTCCACATTATTTCCCACTTAATGTGTTCACTCTTAATTTCTTTTTCTATTACACACCCTTCCAGACCCATCCATCTCTTTTAAATCTCTCAAAATCACTGCGTCATGAGCAAAAAGCAACGTTGACGAGTCCCATTTTATCTTTGATTATATTTTTCACTCACACTTCTAAACGCCTTAACACTCTAGATTTAATATTTTTACAACCAATTATAAACGCACTCAGAGACATCCTAGAATATATTATCTCTTTTGTTTATTCTGTCTCTCACCACATGAAATCTTTTACATCTTTTTACAAAAAAAACGACTTTTCAATATATTTACAGCGCCAGTTACATGTATTCTATATCAAGTAATGTGACATTTTTTGAGGCAGCGTTTCGCTCCTGGACAGGGAAACGTTGCCACAATAAAACGTCGCATTAGTTGCACTTGTGTCCTTTTAATAACACACTGTCGATATTTCTACCGACAATATACTAAATCTATCTGAGGCCTATTTCTTATCCATAAATGCAAAATAGATTATTTTCCCTATTTCATTACCTGCTGACGCATGAGCTTTGCCACATACACTTGAGTTCCTTTCTAAATATTTCTTGTTGCGCTGCATTTTCATCTTCCGATCACCATTTCCATAAAAATTATTTAAAAAACAATATTCGTCATATTCTTTTACATTTCTTATACATCTTCTTGTCCTTTTTCCCCTTTTTTATACTCTATGTCAGTCCTTAGGAAATGAGTGTTTTTACAACAGTAAAATATCTGTGAAGAATTAAAAGGCACAATACAGTGATTGGAACAATACATAAATAAACTGCACATATTCGCCAAAAGTTATTGCAAATGCAATAACTATTCCAACATTTAACTTTACCTGTTTTAAGAATTTCAGTGTCAATTCCTTCCATTCCCGCTTCTTCCCTCAATTTCCATTAAGTTTACTACGTCCCTTTTTCCTTACATACAGATCCTCTCTCATTCTACCATAACATGGAATTCCTGCTTCCATTTTAACATCAACATTGATCAACATCTCAGATAATTATCTCTATCAAGAGAGAATAAAAAATCACAATACGTGATTTGAACAATGTACAATTAACCGCACCATTAACAAAAAGACTTCTTGACAGTTCAAGTCGGGCCGAAACATCGTCCTGAGTTTTAGTCTCCCAAGATCAGGTTACACGTAATGATCCTCATCTTTCTAATACCAAAACTTTGTATCCAGCATCTTTCCTCTGTCAGTCATAACATGAATTCCTATTTAACCTCTAGGTTTATTTTATCTCCTTTCGAAATTATTTCTTATTATCAGCAAGAATGCTGAGAGACTCGCATATTCTCTCATTTACTAATCTTTGTTTTTTTTTTTTCAATTATTGGACCTCTTTTAATCTTTTTTAAGTACATATATACACTACTTCTTAACCACCCGACTTTTCTACTTCTCTTCTCACTTTACTTTCGAGTCAACCTTTCCACTACAATTAACTTATTCCTAAAAGGCCCACCATTTTAAGCAATTCATTAATTTCTTCTTCCTTCGACCGTCGATAAGATTCTTCATATTCTTCACTGCTACATACTCAACCTGATCAAGTCATTCGCTAGTTTGCCTTTTAAATAAAAAAACTTATGATATAATTACTATTGAAGTCCGTATTGTAATTTCCCTCCTTATTTCCTTCACTTTCCATTACAGTGTCTCCCATTTCAGTCGAAGTTCTTCAAGTTCCCACTTAATTATTGCTAAATCATCGCAGAGTTTTTTTCAAATATCTCTCAATAAATTACAATATGAACTCCATGAATGTCACTCCGGACAACCATATGTCATATTTCCTTTCAGTCAATTATTCTTAGATAAACTGGGCTTCATCATCTTTTTCCACTCAATTTAAGTGATCATGAATATGCAGACTACTGAGAAGAACTATAGCCAGACCTTCTGTTTGAGTATAGATTTAGATCAACCTTCATTGATTACAAGCAAGGATTATAATCAGACTTCATGATACATAAAGAACATAAGAACGAAGGAACATGCAGAAAGGCCCACTGGCCATGCGAGGCAGGTCCAAAGTCACCTACGGCTTAAGCCAATGCAAACCAACCTTAGTCAGGTTCAGGTCACCATTGGACTAAGGAGGAAAACGGCAACCGACCTGTTACAACAACCTTATCAGGTACTAACTCACAACCCAAACCCACATTACTCAATGTATTTATCAACCTATTTTTAAAGCACACAACGTTCTGGCCTCTATAACGTACTTGGGAGTTTTTTCCACTCATCCCATCATTAAACAAGCAGTATTTCCTATATCCCTCTGAAATCTGAATTATCCAGCATAAAACCATTGCTGCGAGTCCCATTAACAAGCAAGGGATTATAATCAACCTTCATGATAACAAGCAAGGGATTATAATCACCTTCATGATAACAAGCAAGGGATTATAATCAGCCTTCATGATAACAAGCAAGGGATTATAATCAGCCTTCATGATAACAAGCAAGGTTATATCAACCTTCAGATAAAATGCAGGATTTAATCAGCCTTCATGATAACAAGCAAGGGATTATAATCAACCTTCATGATAACAAGCAAGGGATTATAATCAGCCTTCATGATAACAAGCAAGGGATTATAATCAACCTTCATGATACACTACACAAATAACCCGCACATAATATCCCACTGGCTCCTTAGTTAGAAATACATTAAAGCAACAGTAGTGATAAAGAAATGTTTAAGAACAAATGATGTGCACATTAAGAAAAAGCAAACACAAGTTGATCAGATTTGCACGAGATCTTAAATGTTTATAAGAGATAATGAAAAGTCCAGCAATCCAGCCAGAGTGCAAATCGTTTACTAGAGATCCATTAATAATATGAGCAATTCGTATATAGGGTTCTCTTGATAACCTGCTCTCATGCGCCTAAAATACAATACATTGTTACATAAATTTGAGGAAGTCAGTTCTTTCAGCTACGACATACAATAAATAACATCTTAACTTCTCAGCAAAATAAATTCATTTACTATACAGTATTTGTTTATCAATTTACTCTAGGGTAAGGTTAGTTTAGTTAGGTTTGGTTAGATTCAGTCAAGTTAGGAAAGGTTTAGTTTGGAAGGTCATACGCCCTAACCTAACTTTGCCAAATGTGTAAAGGTTTATCTTGTTCAAATGATAAATAAAAATAACTATCTTATGGAAAAGAGGCAACCCATCCATCCCCTTATGTTGATTATTTGATTTAGGCATTCAACCATTTTCTTGATTTACTTTATTCAGAATAAGTTGGGTTAAGTTTTGTTAGGTTAGGTTAAGTTAAAGAGGGGTGAGTTAATGGTAAGTTACGTTAGATTGTCTTCTATCAGTATTATTATTATTACAATCATAACTAAGAGCTAAACCCACAAGGGTCTCTTCTATTAAAATTAACCACTCAGATTTTTAAAACATAATACAACTCCAAGAAACAAAATGTTTCATGAAGGCGATCATTTTTTTTTTCTGAAAAGTGACCTGATGACTAAGGCTCCGTCGAAGTCACTCTACAATACGAAATCATCGAACTATCGTTTAAGACTTGTGTAATAGTTCCCCATTCGTCTGTGGCTCTAAACTGCAGTGATAAACTAACAGTGATTAGAATGGCTGACTGCCCGGGCGATACCTCCTGCAGTTGGAAATAAAAAGGTATAAAATACCGACAGATTGTTAGGTAATGCACAAACAGTTCTGTTTGTGCTTTTCCTAAAAAATCTGTCGGTATTTTATACCATTTTAATGTTCAGTTCTGTTTTGACTTGAAAAAGCCCACGTGTGGGCGAAGATAAAAAAAAAGGGACCCACATTATACTGCTTTGTGTTTATATTCCCACCCCCTCTTTATTAAATCGTGAGCGGAGTAACACGGTCTAAGTCTTGGTAAATTTTTTAAAGAAAATTTCCACTGTCCAGCAAAGCTGAGGAAGAATGGTTTGGGGTTCAACCTCCCGCCACGAGTTCATAAGACACGCTTGCCACTATGCCCGCTGGTTAAAACATAAACTACCTTCAACAAATTCTCGACTGTACACTCGACTGCAAGAAGCTGCAGTTGGCAGCACCTGCTCAGACATATTCTCCCAGAGATTTCCATGCCAACTCAGGCCCGTGGTAATTTTAGATC